CCTTGCACTAGTACCAGTAAAACAGATAAAAATCCCGAATCTGAAACCAAAATATAGTAAATTGGATGAGCAATCGGTGGAACAATTAAAAGCATCACAAAATACAGAAGGGTGGTGGGTAATGCCAGAAAAGCAGGTAATAGTAACCCCGCAAGTTATGTTAGAACTTGCGTAAGAAAAATGTGCCAGACAGATTGGGATGTCGATGCTAAGGTCTCGAGTTTAACATCATCTGTAGTGTGTGTAGAAATGACAGGAATAATTAAATCAATAGTGGCCACGTGTCCAATGTGTCTCAAAAATAATCCATTAAATTGGAAAAAGGCACCCTTAGGAGTTACGAAACAGGGTAACTCCCCAGGAGACTATTGGCAGGTTGATTTTTCTGAATTACCTAGGCAAAATGGGTTTAGATATTTATTAGTATTAATTGATACATTTTCTGGATGGCTGGAAGCCTTTGCTTGTTCCACCAACAAAACAAGAGAAGTGGTTAAATTATTGCTAAAAGAAATAACACCAAGGTTTGGGGTACCAATAGGCATGTCTTCTGATAGGGGACCACATTTTGTAGCAGAAATAGTTCAACAAGTAAGTAAAATTTTAGGAATAAATTGGGATTTACATACCCCCTGGAGGCCGCAATCAAGTGGGAAAATTGAAAGAATGAAACAAACGTTAAAAAGACAAATAAGTAAGATTTGTCAAAAAGTATCTTTAAAATGGCCACAAGCTTTACCATTAGCACTCCTGAGAATCAGAATTCAACCAAGATCTAAAGATGGTGCTAATCCATACGAAATCTTGTACGGCAGACCTTATCAACCTCCTTTAATCTCAGGGGATATGAAAATAGCAGGGGAAACAGATTTAAAAATGTATTTGGTTTCTTTAGGAGAAACCCTTGAAACACTCTGAAAATATGTGTTGCTGACCCGATCACTTGCTTTGGATACACCTGTGCATCAGTATCAGCCAGGTGATTTCGTGTCTATAAATCCTTAGAACTCTGAACCACTGCAGGGGTCCAGGTCCAGGGACATTTCTGGGTACTGTTAACAACTGTGATGAATGTAGAAGGGGTGGAACCGTGGCCACACTACACTTGAGTGAAGAAGGCCCCTTCATGGAGAATCATCAACAGAGATCCAGAGACTGCAAAACTGATCTTAAACTATATCTAAAAGGGGGGCTATCCTTGTAAAATATGGAAAAAATGAATTCTAACCTGGAGACTGATGCTGGTGGGAGCATTGTTTAAATATTATTATTTCAAAACTTCCAAAGGGGTGAAATGTGCATCCAGCGCTGCAATAAAGAATGTCTGCATTTTTTAACAGTACATTGGTGTTAGGAGGTTTTATTCCCGGATTTTCGGTGACAGTTGGACTGTGTTTCCACCCCTGGGGCAGTCGATTCCAGGTGTACTGGATGCCCCTCCATTTGAAAGCAAACTGTGGCCTGCACTCTGCTGCCAAAGGGATGGAGAAGAATGCATTAGCGATGTCAATTGTAGTGTACCTCTTGGCTGCCTTTGGCTCCAGCTGATATTGAAGTTCTAGCATGTGTGGCACAGCAGCACTCAGCAGTGGTGTGACTTCATTCAGGCCACAGTAGTCTTGGGTGAGTGAGCTTTGATGATTACTCCTTGACTCTCCAGCTGGCAGGTCAGCTGATGAATGGGGAGTTTGTTTTGGAGGACTTCGGGCATGTAGATGTGTGTGTATTTGGTGTAAGTGGTTACTACCCAGTGTGTGGAGGAGTAATGGCTGCTGTAGTGTGTGGTTGGCATCATAGTGTTTGTTGTTTCCTGTTTCTTGTGATGTTCTTCCTGTTTGTGGAGGAGTTGGAGATCATAGGGTTGTGTTTGGTAACTGTAGAGTGTGTGTTTTGGTGTCTGGAGGACTTCTGTAGGATAGAGTTGATGTGTGGAATCATAGAGATTTAGTTCTGGTTTTGTGGAGGAGTTGTACACCAGAGAGATGTAGTTCTGGAAGTGAGAAGTTGCATGGTGGTCATACACTTGTGACTGTGGAGCTGGTGTGTGTGTATTGTGCTTTTGGTGACTTGGGCATCATAGAGTTGGAATTGCAACCATCGAGTTCATTGTCTTGTCTTGTGGT